AATTAATTATTAATATAATTATTTATATAATTAATTAATATAAAATAATATTTAAATAATTTTATTTAAACTAAAATTAGAATTTTAAGAAATTTTTAAATTAAATTAATTAAAAAAAATTAATATTAATTTTTTTTCATTTATTAATTTAAATAAAATCTATTTATAAAAAAAGCTCCAGCTTTAATTATTTTTAAAATAAAATATTTATTAATTAATTTAAATTTTTTTTTATTTATTTAATTTAAAATAATAAAAACAGCTATTTATATTTTAAATAAAATTTTAAATAAATAGTTTAATTAAAAAATATTATATAAAATTATATGAAAAAGTCTTTTATAATAGTTTTTTTAATTGTTTAAAAAATTAGATTTTTTCTATTTAAAAAAATATAAATTATATATTTATATTGAAATTAATAGTTTTTTCAAAAAATATAAATTAAAACTTAAAATTCTAATTAATTTTTTAATTAAATATAAAATTTTAAATATTTAATAAATTTAGATTTTAATTTTAGAATATTATTTCTAATAAAAATTCTAATTATTAATAAATTTTTAAATTAGAAAGTATATTAACTGATTAATAATTTATTTATATAATTAATTCTATTGAAATTAAATAATTTAATATTAAATTAATTAATTAAAAATTATTTTAATTAAATAATTTAAATATTAAAAAATTTATTAAGCTAAGACCAGATAATCTAAATAAATTATATAATAAATTATATAATATAAAAAAATTATTTAAAAAAAACAACTTTTATTATATAATTATATAAACTTTTTAGAAAATCTAATGTTTAGAAATCTATTATTTATTTTAAATTATTTACTATTTGTCTTACTACTAAAAATTTTTATTAATAATATTTTTATTAATTAAAAACCTATTAAAAAAATTAATTCTTTTTAATATTAAATTAATTAAAACTTTAAAATACTACTATTTTAAATTATTTAATTAAAATAACTATTTTTAAAAAAAAATTAATTTTATAAATAATCTAAATAATAATTAATTATATTAAGAAAAAATTTTTTTATATTAATAAAAATTAACTTTTATTATCTTTTATTAACTAAATAAATTAGTAAATTATTCTTATTTATCTTAGTTTATTTAAATTTTAAGAATAAAACTTAATTAGTTAAATATTTTAAGTATTTAAATTATATATTTAATATATAATATTAAAAATAAAATTCTTTTATTAAAATAAATATAAATTTATAAATTTAATAAAAAGATTATTTAATTAGTTTTAAAATATATATTTATATATAAAATAATTTATAAATATCTAATTAATTATAAATATATATTAATATATTTATAACTAGATTTATAAAAATTATTTCAATTTTAGTTATTATATTTAATTTAAAAATATACTAGTTAGATATAATTATTATCTGTTTTAATAATTTTATTAAAAAAGATTTATATAAACCTATTATTTAAATTAAAAAATAAATATGTTTATTATAAAAAGGTTTATATAAACTAAAATAGTTTTTATTTTATAATAAAAAATATTTAAAATAAAACTTAAAATTCTAAGACTTTGTTTTATAGAAAAAACTAATATATTTATATTAATCAATTTTTAATTTGATTAATTTTTATAGATAATATAAGTTATATATTCTATTAATTTAATTATAAAAAATTTAATAAATTTAAATAAGACTTAATAATATTACTTAAAATAAAAACTCTTAATAAATTTATATTATTTTTAAATATTTAAATATTATATAATTACTAAAATAGAGAGCTATAAATTAAATAATTAAATTATATTAATAAAATTATTAATAAATTTAATTCAAAATATTTTTAAAGTTTTAAATTTTTATTTTTAAATAAAAAATTAATTAAAAATCTATTTTTTAAGATTTTGGCTAATTAAATTTATAAATTTTAATAAAAAATAAAATTAACTTTATGTTTTATAGTTTAAATTAAATCTAATATAACAAAATTATATTAATTATTTATAAAATATTTAATTAATCTACATTCTAAATATTTTAAATTAATAGATTATTTAATACTTTATTTAAAAAAATAAAAAATCTAGTTATTAAATATAATTTTAATTTGAAGTAAATGATTTTTTATATAATTAATAATATTAGTTTTCATAATAATTGAGATTATACTAGCTTAATAGAATATATTGTTTATTTATTTAACAAATTAATTAATTAGCTAAATAAAAAATAATATTATATAATTTTTTAAATAATTTAAATAAAATTATTAGTTCCAATTATTTTAACTAAATAATTTTTTATATAAATAAGATTTAATTCTAAATATTATTTTTTAATATTATATAATAATATTTAAATTATTTAAATATTAATTAGTTTTATTTTTTTAAACTAGTTTAAAATATATTAATATAACTAATTACTAGCTTAAATAAAAAGTTCTAAATAAGACTATTAATATTTATTAGATTCTAACTAATAAAATAAAAATAAATAATCTAATTAAATAATTTAATAATTAGAAATACTAATATTTTACTTAATAATTTAATATAATAAAGATCTAATTATTTATTTATTTTCTATTTTAATATTTTATTTATTTATTAATTTATTTATTTTAATTTTAATAAAAACTATTATTTTTTTAAAACTATAAGAATATATTAGACTAAAAAATTATCTAAATATTAAAATCCTAAGTTTTAGTCTTTTTAATTTAACTATCTAAATAAACGCTATTATTTTAATTTATTTTATTTATTTTATTTTTATATTCTTACTTCTGATTTATTAAATATTTCTAGTTTTCTGTTTAAGAAATTAATAAATAAAAAAAATAGTTTAAATAGTCTAATATTTTCTATTATTTCTATTTCGTTTAGTTTAGTTTAGTTTTATTAATTAAAATTATATATTAAATTTATTATTCTATTTATTTTCTTATTTATTAAATCTTTAATTCTTTTAATTTTATGATTATTGTTATACAATACCTACTGCTATACCAGCTTATACTTACTATTATAACAGCCTGCTTCTAGCTCGACACAGATTTATCAGGCTTTTAATTCAGATATCTATATTATTATATTATTTATTTTTTTTATATAATATATTAATTTAGAATCCTTTAGAAAAGACGATTTTTTAAAAATTAGTTTTAAAATTAATAAAAAATTATTTTTAATTATTTTATTTATTTTATCTAACTAGTATGTCTACTGTATTAAATAATTTCTAATGATTTTTATTTTTTTTTTAGTTATTTAAAAAAAATAATATATTATTAAATAAATTATTATTAGAATTCTTTTAAGATATTTTGTTTATTTTTAAATTATACTATTTAATTTAAATAGATATTTAAAAAATATAAGCTATTATCTACTAATTAAAATAATTAAAATAATTAAAAAAA